TGTTTCTTGCAAGTTTCTGCCTTAAAACAGCAATTGTAATTTACATATAGATTTAATTAGTGGCAGATTGGACTACTTCCTTAGAATTTTATTTGCTGATAGATAATATTTCTTTTTATTCTCTTAATGGTTGACCTGACCAGATACTTACTTGATTTAGGTGCTTGAGTTTTATTGTCACTTTTTCATATTGTTTTATAAAGTTGTCATTGTAATTGGCTATGTAAATCTGTTCTTAACAGTTAAAAATGATTTAATTGCTGATATCTGCAAAATGTGCACCTCTTCAATAAGCAAAAGTTACTTGAGGCATTGAGATAATGATAAGAATTAAATTGGGAAATATCTTGAATAGTATCTGGGTTCAGCGATATCATTTGAAATGGCTTTCCAATCCCTCTGTGTAGTTTGTGACAAATGAGTGAACCTACTGCCTTTATTTATTTATTTAGTTAGTTAGTTAGTTAGTTAGTTTGTTAGTTTTTTGGCTCTGTCTGATGGAGGAAGAAAACCCACAATAAATGACTTCCTTTCACTTTGTTGGAAACATGTTGGCAAGGACAGGGTGATAAGTGAATGTAAAAGTTGGAGGCCACTAAGCACATCGTCCTGGGTGTTCGGGCCCTTGTGACTGCAGCAAGAAGAGAGACAGTTCATTTTGTGGGCTTCTGAACGGTGTTGGATGTGTTCTCCAGAAAGGGAGAACGTACGTTTCCATTAAACAAGAAAACTGCCGTTTTCCGCTTATGTAGCCCTTCTGAATCTGGACAGCATTGTAATATAACACTAAAGCATCATGGTTTTGAGACTTATTTTGTATATCAACATGTACTCATGTAAGATGCTGGGTTAATATATAATGCCCATATTTAAAACCTCAAAATCCAGAACAGACGTTTGTGAAATCCAGAACAGACGTTTTGATTTTGAAGACTCATTGATACAAATGAAGGCCCTGCCTGACTTGGGACCCTAAGACTGACGGCCCTTCCAGTGGCCATGTTTTGTATTAGCTGCTAATGAGCAGTACCGAGCCTTTGACTAATCCTGAAAAGCATTTTGGTGAATGGTAACTGGGGATGTGGTTTACTCAGTATGAAGACTGACAGGCCGTTCCTTAGCCCTGGAATCGATGTAGAAGCAGAGAAAAGCCCCCCGATGGTCAGCATTTCCTTTATGTGGGGCAGGGGGCAAGGGGGAGTCAAAAGCATAACCCGGCCAAAGAAGAATATTATTTGTGTTAGCCTTTCCTGCATTTTACTTATATTAAAAGTGGCAGTAAAGTATGAAGTGCCACCATATTTGGGAAAAGAAGCCTCTTGTCCACATCCCATTATCATGATCATATATTAAAGCATCGTCCTTAACAGCTACTCACTAGTGGTAAATGGTTCATCGTAGTCAGTGAGCCACAAAATAGTCTGGGTAGAGGGACAGAACTCAGAATCATGGGTCCGATGCACAGACTATGTATCTGATTTTTTCTAAAAGGGCAAAATCTGGTTCTTTGTATCCATTGGATCTGTTGGAAGTTTGGCTGTGTTCATCTGCCTGTGTTCCTGAGCCTTCTGGAGGAAAGCAGGGAACAGTCTAATATGTAAATAAGGAAACTAAATCTGAATCTGCCCACAAATACACAAGCTCTTCATTCTTAAATAGAAACTGAGTATTGACATTCCTACTTCCTTTTCTTTGAATTCCTTCCCCCCTGTCGTTATTGCGAATGGATTGTTGGCTCTTGCATTTGCTTTATTTTAGTCTCTTTTGAATATTTTTCTCTGTAAGATGACAACTGTGTGTATGTGTGTTCCATCATATTTCAAGATAAAATGGGTCAGAAAGTAGTATTTTTGCAAAGTGGTTCAGTATCTATTTAGTTACCGCATGGGCTCCTGGGTCTGAGGACTCCAGAAGTGTCAGTCCTTAATCCCTTGTGCTCTTGCTACTCTTTGCCTTCCAGTCTGTATGTAATACTAATATAGAACATTTACGTAATACTTGATGACACAGCAGACAACTCTGCTCTTCATTTCTTCTCATAGTATCTGTGACGCCATATCCTCCTGGTCGCCCATCTCCCTGACCATTTCTTCTTAGCCTCCTTCATCAGCTCCATTTCCTCTTTTCAGCCTCTAAAAGTTGTAGCTCCTTAAGACTTGGCCATGAACCCTTTACTTCCCATGATTTCTAAAGAGCCAGACTCCATCCCGCCTCAGGACTCGTATGCGTGTTGTTCTTTCTTTTTGGCACTCCCTCCCCTCATCTTTTACTCATTTTTACTCATCTTGTTTCCTCCTGTCTTCTGTCCATGGACCCCATGTACTGGACCATTTGCTTTTCTTCAAACATACCACGTGCTCTCCCACCTCTGGTCTTCTGACTTTTGCTCATTCTCTTTTCTGCTAAGTTATGGCCAAATTTTGTTTTGCATTGCTCAGCTGAAAAGCCATATTAATTCATGATGCTTTCTTATAATCACCACACATTCTAAAAATTCAGATCAATTGATATATGTCCATAGAACTCTTCACATTTACCTCCTGTTACTATTTTTGTGTGTTTATGTTATATCCTCTATTATAATATGAGCTCCTCAAAGGCAAGAATCTTACCTTCAACTTCCTTGAATCTTCTGCAGAACGTAGCATAGTATCTTATACATAACAGTAACACAATAAATATATACCAGATAAAGTTAATGAAAATGATAAATAAATCAAGCATAGAGGAACATTTACATTATACCTTGAAAGATCCCTCATTCTCATTCAAAAGAAGTGAAAAGCTAGGACTCTCTGGGATTGTTGCCGTTGACCTATAAAGGCTCTTATTTGTTTCCAGATATATAACTCTGAGGGAACTTTATATCAAACTGTCTAATAAAGCAGGCTGCTATAAGTGGTATAGGAAATATCAAACATTTATCACTTCACTTTTCCAAGCTGAAAAAGGGAGCTAGCTCTTGTTGTTTTGAGCTTCTGTCGATGATTTTCTGCTGTGGCTGCTCATCAGGGTTGTATTGTTCACCTTTAGAAAGGCCCAACTGAACAGTCTCTCCTTCGAATTGTTGTCGGACATTAACTTACTGCTGCAGAGTACATTGGTAAGGATTTCTGAAGTTGCAGGGAAGTGCTCCTTTCCTCCCTCAAGTTTGTTAAGTATTTTTTTATAATGAGGATCATCGTTTCCTAGTTGGTAGAAGAGATAAAATGGTCTCTGGGCATATTTTCTCTTGCCGCAAAATGATTATATTAGAAAATACTTTATCCAGTTTTTTAATCCTTTTCACATGCTGTAAGAGCCTTAGGAAATAAGTTGGTGACCAGGTTTCATGTCTCTTTCATAAGGCATTGAGCGGCGCTCAGGTCACTGTGATACAGCTAGTGGCCTGTAGGCGAGCCTGAAAATAGTTTGCGTTGGTACTGTGTGCAGACATTCATAACTGTCGGAATGCTCAGATGGGGCCATGATTATGACGGACACGCAGCCTTAGACAATCTTGGCCATTCAGCTTGCCGAACAGCCGAGTCAGCTAGTGAGTGGATTCAGGGGACAAGTGAGATTGAACCCTTAGGCCATGAAGGTGCATGTCTCCTTGGTTTGTTCTTCTACATAGATCACAAGGGTCAGTTTTGATCTGCGCAGCAACTAAAGTTCCCTTATGACTTTATGTTTCTGTGTTCTTCTGCTTTTATACTGAAGAATTGTTTGTTTATAAGGCAGCCCTAAGTTACAGTCCATCTTGGAAATGATAACATTATGAATGTATTTTCTCTGCCTGTAGCATTTATGACATTGCTGGCTGATAGTTGTTATTTATTAAGTATTTATGGAATGTAGACTCCTGAGCAGCATAGAGATCATTTGCTCAACAGCGGGCATAGATATGTAGCAATGACTTCCCATTCTAAAGGACATTATTAAATTAAGATGAGGCTGGTCTTTTCTAATTTGACCTGGGATTGATAGAAGATGGGGTATTCCTGCCTCTTTACTTTTCACTGCCTTGCACTGTTTGACATTTATCCTAAATAGAATAAGGGGAGAGACTAGAGGATCTAGCTATTATGAATATATCAGAAAAGGCAGTTTTGAGTTACCCAGTGGCCCCTAAATTCAGGGGGGGAGGGGGATAAAAAGCAAAAACAGCAACTTAAAAACAAACAAACAACTTAGTATTTGAAGTCCCAAATGGAAAAAAAAGAAGGAATTCCTACCTTTTTCAACAGCATGGATGGAAATGGTGACTATTATGCTAAATGAAATAAGCCAGTTGGTAAAAGACAAATACTATGTGATCTCACTTATAAGTGTACAAAATAAAGTAATGAACAAAACAGAACCAGAAGCATAGAGTCATGGAATAGACTGAGCTGTTAGAGGGGTTGTGGGAGGTGGGGACTGATTGAAAGAAGGGGAAGGGATTTGTCAAAGAACATACATGAAGGGCCATGGGCATGGATAACGGTGTGGGGGTGGGCTGTGGAAGTGGGGCGCAGGCTGGATGGAAGGGGGCAAAGGGGGAAAAATTGGGACAACTGTAATAGCATAAACAATAAAATATTTTAAAAGAATAAAACTTTCACATGAAGGATGTTTTTAACCTTCTTTTGTTCTACTCAAAGTCATGACATTGTTCAGGTCATAAATGACATTTAACATCAATTTAATCAAATGTTCCAGTACATTAAAAAAAAGAAATCCCAAATGGAACATTTAGCTATAATTCTAAGCATTTTAGAAATTAAATTCTATTTCTTGACAAATATCAGTGAGTACTACACAAACTTTTCAAATGAAGACTTTTGGAATAAAATTTTCCATCTCGTTCTGCCACCCCATCCCCCACCGCCCTCCACTCTCCCAGAAAAGAAGTCTTGTGCATACTGACCATGAGGCTCTTGAACCACAACACATACTTATATGCACATAGAAGTATGTATTCTCTCTAACAAGCATAGCTTAATAGAAACAAATAAAATTACTGTCTTGCGTTCTAGCGAGTGACCAGCTAATAAGTCACATTGAACAGTTTTTGGATACTAACGAAACACCGTATTTTATGAAGAGCATGGACTGCATCAGAGTCTTCCGGGAAGAAGCCATTCAGGTGATACTGTCCTACCTGTCTGCTCATCCTAAATGGCTGGCCCCCATCGCAGGGGAGAGGCATACGGCACCCCGCAAACAAGCCTGGGACTTGGGGAATAATCATTCTTACTACGATTAGCAATGTTTGCCAAAAGAAGTAGAGATACGGACTCATTTTACTATCAGTGTCATTTCTGAGGGGGAACAAAGATGGGTGGATGAGTGGAATGTTTTGTCCCTGGGAGTTAGCTTTTTATTATACTATAACCCGGGCTGTATGGTTCCTATTAGGCAAACAAAGACAATTCTGTTGAAACCTCTGGTGGGTCCAGTCATTTTTGTAAAGGATAGGCTAACTATTTCAATGATATTGATAGGAAATATATGTTGGTGTAATTATTGGGAAGGATTTTATGAACACAGGATTAGAGATCTGAATGCCAGGGGCAGAAAGAACACTGAGACTTAATTACTCTGTACCTCTATCCTACCTTTTGTGTGGGTTTTTTGTTGTATTTTATTAGAAATGTTAATAGAACACTTCAAAAATTCTTCCAAATTATTTCTAGGCATTTATACATAAACTCTAAGCAAGAGTAAGCAAATTTAAATTAGAAAGTATATTTTAAAGTAGGCACGGTTGTATTTCGTGTGTGGGTGCTTATTAATATTTGCTGAATGAATGAGCAGTATAATTCTTGAAAAGTTTAGGTCCTTGCAGAGAATAATAAAATGGGAAGATGGTTAAAATTAGAATAGAATAGAATAAAATAGGAGATTCAGTAGTAGGTGCCCCAAATGCCCTACAGATAAAAGACAAAGTTTTGACAAAGTCGAGTCAGGAGAATAAGACATGGGCGACGCGGTAGGGTGGAGTAAGGTTTGGTTGGGTAGAAGAAGGTAGTGAAAAAGCACTGCCTTTTAAGGACCACTGCTTCCCAGGGGGGATGGTGTGTCTGATAACGTTTCTGTGCACTCTTGCCACCACTTGTCCTTAAAAGTGCCGAGTGATGCCTTTTAAAGAGAGAGGGAGGGAGGGAAGAAAGGGGGAGGAAAAAAATGGAGGAGAACCTAAAGAGACTTTAGAATGGTATCAATTAATCTTAATGTAAAAACCTTTTTAACTAAAAATTGTTTAAAAAAATGTTTTATGGAACAGTTGGGGAAATGTGAATGTGAATGGTTATTTGCTCCGATTAAGGAATTATTATTAAATTTTTTGAGTATTTTTTAAAAAGAATCTCTATATGTTTTAGTATTGCATATTGAAATACTTACAGATGAAGGTAGAGGTATAGATGAAACAAGATTGGCTGAGCTGATAATTGTTGAAGATGGGTGCTGGCTGTATGAGTGTTCAGTGAATTATTCTCCCTTTTTGTTTGAATATGTTTATAGTAAAAGTTAAAAAACAAAAATACCAGGTCACCAAAAAACTGCATGGCTCTGGGAATTTCTGTACCTTCCACAAATGGAAAGATTTCAGGTTCCCAGCAAACAGGGCTGAAATTTGAAATAACAGTATCCCATTTACCAAAGAAGTGTGTGTATATAATAATTCTATATATATATATATAGGTTATAAAAGATGAATTCAGTATATATAGTGCTTTGGCCTGAGGATGACTGTGTTTTTATGTTTGCTCTGACTTGCCACCACAGTTTTCAGAATACCAGCGCTTTAACAATTTCCTGAAAGCCCTTCGAGAGAAAGTAGAAATTAAACAATTAAATCATTTCTGGGAAATCATCGTGCAAGGTAAGAGTAAATATAAATTCTAAATATATAAATTGCATTGTATGATGACTTTTGATGTGAATTTGGGAAATGCTCAGGATTCAATGAACTAAAAATATTAGTTGATAGGCATAAATACGGCATGATAAATAAGTCAACACATAAGTCCCATCTGAAACTCTGTGTAGGCTGACCTGTTCCCAAGATTGCACCTCTCTATTCAGTAAAAGAAGCTGTGAGGGCAAAATGGCCCCCTTTCTCCGATTCCTAGATGCCGAGTCCCGCTCCACCCACAGCCTTCCCAGTGACCCCTCCTGCCGCCTCCATTACCATGTCCTTGGGCTTTTCCCGTCAGCACCCCAGCATCTGCATCCTCACTTATTCCCAGTGACAAGGTAAATTAAACCTAGAAAGAAGGCACCATACACTTTTCTAAAGCTTGATTTTGATTTTCTTCTTGCCCTTGGCCCATTTTTTTAAGCTGACTTGATTTTTTTCAGAACCTAAGTATAAGCTATTACCTATTAAAAATATATATTTCAAAAACACTGGTGTTTAAAAGTATGAAACTTTTCGCTTGAAATAGGGCCGCAGAACACTTTCAACCTGGCTTTATGTGCGTTTCTGTATAAAGGAGTTACATACCCGTCTGCCCGGCTTCTGGCGGGCAGCTTTTCTTCATCGCACAGGCAGCCATTTCCCTGACAGTTAATTTTTCAGCCCTTTAACTTCTACACCGGGGAGCAAAAGCAATTAGAATAGGTGGCGAATGGGGCTTCCTCAAATTGCCCTTGTGTCTCTGCTGCCGACCCGGCAGATGAAAGAGATTGGTTTTGGAATTTATTGAATGCCTCCAGCATGTTGTTGGCTGAAAAAAAATCTTACAGGACATACACAAGCAACATATTTTCTGAAAGTGTGTATCCTATTGAGAGAATACACATGACTTGTGCCATTTCTAGGTACAAATGGATGTTAAATACATGCGCTTTTCTGAAAGTATTTTCACGCATCAGCCATTTGAGGCAGGAGAAAAATCTTAGAAGAGAAAACTAAAAGGGTAGATTTTTCTATCCTTGATTTGCTCTCACTGAGCTGAAATTGATGTACTGCCCTAAATGTTAGACACGGCCAGTGTTAAAAGCATGTTTCCTCCTGACCTTGGCCTTCTCACCACTCTGCCAATAGCCAGCAACACTACTGGAAGTCAAAGTGTCTTCAGGTTCCCGTATTGGGTACCTAATGAGTTTGGACCATAGCATACAGTCATTCAGTTATCATTTACTTACTGTGCTTCTGCTGTGTACCACATTGAGGGGAATATAAAGGTGAACAAAACCTGCCGTAGAGAAAAGTGTATAGTCCCATTAGGAGAGATAACATTTATACAAATAGTTCTACAGGATAAGATATGATGAGAGCCATTTCAAAAGCATAAACAAAGTGATCTGAGAATTCTGAAGGAGAGGTTATTTCTATCTGGATTTAAGCAAGGAAGCCTGCATGGAGCATGGGGCATTTGAGATGTGGCCTTTATTTTCCACAAGCAAAAATGGGAGAAAGGATAATGTAAGATGGAAGGAACAATGTAAATTAAGTGCCTTTATAGTTTTATATTCCTTACAGAGAAGAGCACCACCATAGTTTAAAAAATCCCCAGTACTAAATGGGAGGAGATACAGTGGGAAGAAAGGTGGGATTGGGGGGGGTTCTGTACTTGGATATTACTCTATGAATTACTTTTTAGATGGAATTACTCTGATCACCAAAGATGAAGCTTCTGGAAGCTCTGTCACAGCAGAGGAAGCCAAAAAGGTATTGAAAACTCCCTGTCTCTAGATAATGTATCGCCGTGAACATTATTGTCTTGATACCCATTCTTACTTGAAGAAGTTAAATTTTAAGGCTAACTAAATTTAGTGTGCCCATTTTAGTCAGCCAGCAGGCAGATTGCTTCAGCTGCAGCGTCCTTGTGGGAGAAATTGTGGTCTCACTTAGCTTTCCAGAGTCTATGGCAATGTTTCTAGAACCCACCTGTAATCCCAGCTTCAGTAGCCCCAGAGCTGCCAAAGTCCATAGTGCATACCAAGCTTAGCCTAGACCGTGGTAAAGGCTGTGGGATCTGTCTAGCCCAGCTTTTCCCATCCTGACCGCACATTGGTCACCGAGGGAGCTATTTTGTACCAAAAAAAAAAAAAAAATTGATGACCAGGCCCCTCCCCCAAGGTACTTTTTCTCCAAGATAGGTCCTAGGCATGGTTTTGAATTTGTAATTCAGATTGTAAGGGGCAGCAAGGTAGCAGAACACTGGTGTTCTGGCATAAGGCACATCTGGTATTTTCAGTAAGTAAAAGACCCCATGTATGAGGTCTTTTGTATTGACACAGAGAGTTAGGCCAAGGTCTCCCTGTTTGGTGTACAAGTATTGAATCTGATTCAGCTCCAAGTCAAATACGTGTGGTTGTGTAGCTCAGTAATCCTTCACTGTACCTCAGGTTTTGGATGAGATTTTAATGAAATTAAATTGAATAGCTCAAAAGCATATGGTTTATAACACTCAGCGTCAGTTACAGTGCTGCCAGCACAGCAGCTGGCAGCTGGCGGTTACGCACTGAGCCTCTGCTGTCTGCGAGGCCCTGTGCCGGGTGAAGGGACAGCACCCCTGTCTTCTAGGAACTCAACTGATCAGTTCAGGGTAGCAGAGGGAAGCAATGAGACTCAAACATGCGGTGCACACGCTGTGGGGGAGCTTGGTCTGCAATGCCAGGCGTGAATCTGTTAAGCGAATGGCAGGAACAAGGCTGGCAGTGTTCACCTGACGGCTAAATTCAGGCCAAATTAAAAATGCCTTGAATTTTTAGAGTCATTTGGCAGAAACTGGAATATTATTTGGGAGAGTGCAGAATATGCAGGAATTTTTATTAAGCACATTTTGCTTTCAGGGAGTAATATCCTGGAATTTTAGAAGCAAACCCTAAGATGCTAATTATTGTCTCAGAAGGGGTTCCACGGTGTCTGCACCCTCTCTGCCATAAGCAGTACCGTGGGTATGCCAGTACTTGAGAGAGTGTCACTTAACTGCTACATTGTATTTCTGTTTGTTACTTCATACAATGGCATGGTATTATTTCCCCCTTGAACTGGGTTGTGTCATTCAGGCTCTGCAGAGACACAGAACCAATAGAATGTGCATGTGCATGGGGGCAGCAGTGGGCAGGGGGGCCCGGATTTATTTATTTTAAGGGATTGGCTCATGTGATTGTGGAGGCTGGCCCATCTGAAATTTGTCCCCAAGCCAGCAAGCTGGAAACTCAGGCAGGATTTCTGTGTTACAGTCTTAAGGTGGCAGAATTCCTTTAACCAATTGGATGGGACCCACCAACATCATTGAGGGTAACCTTTACTTAAACTCAGCTGATTGTAAATGTTCATCACCTCTACAAAATACCGTCACAGCAACATCTAGACTGGCGCCTGACCCAACAACTGGCCATCACGGCCTAGCTAAGTTGATACTTAAAGTTGACCACCACATAGGGTGAAGCTTATCGATCAGCTTTTGCTAAACAAGTAAAATTGATCAACACAAATACTTAAATTTTAGTCATTATTGCATTCAAGCAATATCGATAACTTAGATGAGAGTTGAGCATATATTACAGTTTTTGGAGGAAGAGGGGAACACTGATCTAAAAAACGTAGTTTTCCTTCCAGAGGTACCTTTAACCAAAGGTGTCACAGCTGAGTGAATCCAGTGCAGTATGGAGGAAGGAAACCTAAAAGGGGACAATATCCTTCTTGCAAAGTATCTGAAGTGCCTGAGGTTTGTTCTGTGTTGCACAGCAGGTATCTTCTTTGGAATTTAAGGACACGGAACCTGCCCATCAGGAATTTTGATGTCTGATAACTAAGCTGTAGAGAGGAATTTCAGTTAATGACTATGTATAGGGTGGTCCTTACATGATTGTGCTATCAACAGAACTGATTTCAGTCATTTGTAATTTAAGACAATTCTGAAAACTTCACCTTTGAATAGGCAGAAAACATAGTAATTGCAGTGGAGGAGTGGAGCTCGGTGTTCTAACTCACCTGCACACACCGACTTGTCTGACTGGCAAGATTCCGCTTCTGTGTTGTGTGCTTCAATAGCACACGGACCCTTCACTTTGTTTTTCAGAGTGAACATTTAATCCTTTGTGTTAAAAACGTTTTTACATGGTACCTGTTGATTTCTGGAGTGAGGCGTAGAAAGGAGAGCGCATTTACAGATGATAATGGGGAGGGTGACAGAGAAAGTCTGGCTGATGGCAGTTCATTCCCTGTGGTTTTAATAGGAGAGACATGCATCGCTATTTCCCTTAGCCAAGTTCAGGAAGTGTAATCGCTTTGGACTGTGTGCTAAAACATTCATTTATGTTGCCTTTAAAAGAAGTGTTAAATTTGGTCACTTCTCAAATAATCAATTAAGGAAACTTGCCTATAATTAGAGAGATTGAAGAACAATCCTTACAGTGCATTTAAACTCTTTCAAGGTATTTACAAGTTGTTTAAAGTTGGCAAGATGTCAGATTCTTGCTGTCCAATGTTGATGACTTGAAAGGAAATAATTATCCAAGGATGTCCATTTTAAATTAAAATTAAATCGTATCTTTACACTTGCACATCTTAAGGAGAGCCATTTCCCCCAGTGTATTCTAGAAATGTGTGGATTTTTTTTATTCTTTGAGAAATATAGCCAAGTCAGCTGTGTTACAGAAATAGAAGGTTCTTCCATGACGTAAGTTTAGATACAGTCACATTCTTTTAAGTGTATCAGTACCTCTCATTGCATTTTGAAACCTCAACATAAATGTTACCACTTTTATATTCATTTTTATTGTCATTATAACCTTTCAGTTCTGTAATTGTTTCTGTTTCTGGTTGCTATTCTTAGACATGCCATTGACATTGATGTCTGGTAAAGTCTTTGTACAGCTTTTGTGTGCCCTTCATCCATTAGCTTATTCTCCAGGCCTGCTGGTGGGTAGAAGGTGTGGCTTTTCGTGCTGGCATGTTCCAGGAGCTCCTGGGACATCCTTTGTCCCAAGCCACACTCAGTAAGAGTCAGTGACTTCTGAAAGGTCAGGATAGACTGACTGTCCACTTGAAGTTTATTTTTTACCTTTTTTTAGGTTTCTTCTTGCTAACCTGTATTAGGGTTAGAACAGTAGTTCTCAACCAGGAGATTTTGCTCCGCAGGAGGCATCTGGCAGTCCAGACACATTTTTGGAGGTTACAACAGGGGGCGTGTTACTACTCCTAGTGGGGTCAAGGTCAGGGATGTTTTGAAACAGAACAGCCCCACACCAAGGAATTATCTGGCCGCCAATGTTGATAATGACACTGTTGAGAAGCCTTGGATTAGAAGAATCTAAATAAGCCAGATTCTTAACTAAGTCAGGACGTTGGCTTATGTTAAACAGAATTTTATTCAGCTGGAAAAAATCCTAATGATCTGTTAGCTAAGTTTTTATTTTTAAAACGGAAAGCTTACAGGGAAGCCTGACATGTGAAACAGGTAAAGGTGGTAGACACCTCAGCTGATGGTCAGTGGGAGTGGCAGATTGAGAGCACCTATGCCCAGGGGACAGAACCTGAAATGTACTGATCTGGTGCCAACTTCTTATTTTATAGATGAAGAAACTTAGGGCCTTGAGAAGTAAAATGATCAGTCTGAGATCTCACAGTAAGTCACTGGCCAGGAATCCAATGGTAGGACAGCTCCTGTGCCCCACCCCCAGTCCTCCATCCTTTTTACTCCATGTTAAGAACAGAGAGGAGAGGACTTCCAGTCAAGATGGAGGCACAGGTAAACACAGGTCCAGTCAAGATGGAGGCACAGGTCTCCTTGCACAACAAGAGAAAAAATCACAACTAGACCACAAAACAAGTATCACCCAGAACTGTCAGAAAATTGAGCCGTATGGAAGGTTGAAACCAAGGATTTAAAGGAGCCACATTCATCCAGATGGGTAGGAGGGGCAGAGATGGCGGAGACAGGCAAAGAAGTGTGGAGACATGGTGTGGCATGGACAGGGAGAGGTAGTAGAATGGGCAGTCCCACATTCACATGTGCTGGATAAAAATGGGGAGGGATACCTCAGGAGCGAGGGATCCTAGCCCCAGGCTTGACCACACAGTCGGATTTTTAAGAGACCCTTCTTAAAGGGCCTGCACAGACTTAGGACTTATGCAGACCCACCTCCCTGGGATTCAGCACCACGGCAACAGCTAGGAGGGCACCAGTGGCATACGGGGAAAAAATGAAGTCACTGGAAACTGGGCGAGAGCCGGGAGACATCTTCCTCCCAGGTGAACCTCCAGAGGCCAGACAGCAGCACTGTCCTCTTTCAGAGCCCTCCCCTAACACAGAACCACAAAGCAGTGAAGTGGGTTGCCCCACCCTGGTGATCACCTAAGGCTCTGACCTGCACAACTTACAGGTGCCTTTTCTCCAATATGCCACGCTACCAAGACAGGGAGTCAAAGCAGCTCTACCTAATACACAGAAAAAAAAAACAGGGAGGCAGCCAAATTGAGGAGACAAATATGACCCAAGTAAAAGAACAGACCAAAACCCCAGAAAAAGAACTGAATGAAATGGAGATAACCAACCTATCAGATGCAGAGTTCAAAACACTGCTGATGAGGATGCTCAAAGAACTCATTGAGTATAGCAACAGTAGAAAAAAGACCCGTGCGGAAATGAAGGTTACATTAAGTGAAATAAAGAAAAATCTACAGGTAACCAACGGTGGAGGGGATGAAGCCAGGAT